TACAACTCTTAAAAGAAAACATGGATATAAGTTTTCATGACCTTGAGTTAGACAGTACTTTCCTAACTTACACCAAAATAATCAGTGGTAAAAGAAAAAACTGGACTGCATCAAAATTAAGAATTTTTGTGCTTCACAATATACTATCAAAAAAGTAAAAAAAAATCTATAATGGAAGAAAATATTTGTAAGCTGTATATCTAATAACCGATTTGTGTTCAGAATAATTACAGAAGTCTTACAATTTAACAACAGAAAGATAAATGACTGAACTAAAAATAGACAAAATATTTAAAAAAGCATTTTCCAAAGAAAGGTATAAATTTCCAATAAGCACATAACAAGGTGTTCAACATCATCAGGAATTAGAAAACTACACTTCAGACCTGCAGTGAGATTCTACAGTAATCATACCCATTAGGATGGCTAACACAGAAAAGACAGTAGCATATGTTAATGAGGATAGAGAGAAATTATAACCTTCAGATATTGCTGGTCAGCGTGTAAAATGGTGTAGCTGCTTTGGAAAAGTCTAGGCAGCTCCTGAAAATTTTACACAGAGTTTTTTGGCCTACTACTCCTACCTTGTACAAAAGAGAAATAAAAATATATATCTACCTAAAACCTTGTACATGAGTGTTCACAGCAGTATTAGTTACAATAGCCAACAAACAGAAATAGTCAAATATCCATTAAAAGACAATAGATAAAATATGTTGCCTCCATACAATGGAATATCATTCAGCAATAAAAAGAATAAAGTACTGATACATGCTATGGTATGGATAAATATTGAAAACATTTTGTTAAGGGAGAAAAGTTAGCATAAAAGGTCACATATTACATGGTTCATGTGAAATGTCCAGAATTGGTAATAGCATTGTGACAGTAACTGAGTAGTTTCCAGGGACAGAGATGGTGGGGAGCAGTGAGGGGCTACTATGGCTATGAAGTTTCTTGTTGGGGTAATAAAAATGCCCTGAAATTAGACAGTGGTGATGACTGTATATCCCAGTGAACAAATTAAGAACAACAAAACTATACCCTTTAAAAGGTCTTTTTGTGGTATGTGAATTATATTCTGACAAAACTTATGAAAAATAGACAATGAAATAAAAAAATGAAAAAGCTGGTGCCATTCACAGGCTGCAGGGAGAACAAGAAGCCAGCCACTTCCTGTGAGTCGGCGCCTTGTGCAGGCTGCAGACTGCGTGGAGGACACCAGATGCCAGCCCCTCCCAGTGGATGGGCTGAGAGACAAAAAGAGCCCCTCTCCATGAGTGACCAGCTGGTTCAGAGAAACACAGGTGGAGATGATAGCTACTGAAGTAAAATACAGTTTAATGCTGGTAGTGTTCAGTGTTTTATTGACTTTGCAGACCTAAAGCAGGTAACTCGATTATCTGCTTAGAGGATAACAAGACACAGTATAGGGCCAGGGAGAGAACAAATCAGCATTTCCCAAAAACCAGCCATGCTAGAACTTGGGGAACTCTCCAAGAAAGCAATGAGCCAGCCTTCCTGGTAAGTGGTGTGAGCTGATGGCATGCCAGGGATAGAGTAAGTCGGTGTCTCCAATGAGCCTACTAGTACTTGGGCTGAGAATCAAATGTCCAGTGCCCCCCTTTCTTTAGCAACTGGATGGTTTTGAAGTCAGCCAGAATTGATAGCAACTAAGGCACATAAAGCAACTAAATGCTTACATTGTTTGGCTAATTATGCTGACCTGAGGCCAGAGGTCTGAGCATCTCTTAGGAAGATGACATTATGCAATATAGCAATTATGGGGGATTTTTTTCTATCTTGTCTTTGAAGACCAATACTGTTTTTACTGTTTTGCTTTGTCCTAATTAATTGTTTTTCTCTAATCAATCTTCTGTTTTGATTGGTTTTATACTGTTTTGTTTTGGGTTTGAGTTTGCTATATCGATGGAATGGACAACTACTGTAAAGATAACAAGATATACTATGGTACCTATTAATGTTATCCTGATATCCTGCTCTGAAGTTCTATACCAATTTCATTGCATTGTCTTGATTGGCTTTGTTCTGTCTTGTTTTGTTGTATTTTATATTAAAATAAAAAATTTTAAAAACCATAATATACAGTATAGCATCCATGGGGGATTTTCTGAAGGTGGTAGCCATTGCTAATTCCCTATTATCTTGTTTCAAAGTCCTGTATCATTTTCAGTGTTTGGTTTGGTTTAATTCTATTCTGTTTTATTCTATTTGATTTTACTACATCTGATAGCATGGGCAGCTATTTCAAAGATAACAAGATATATTATGGTAGTCATTTTGGATGTACTATTATCTTGTTTTGAAGTCCTGTATTGTGTTCATTGTTTTGTTTTATTTTCCTGTGTCTGATGGTACGGGCAGCTATTGTAAAGACAAGAGACATTATAGTAGTCATTGTTGATTCACTATTATCTTGTTTTGAAACCCTGTATCACTTATACTGTTTTATTTTGATTGGCTTTATTTTGTTTTATTTTGCCTGATTTTGTATTCTCTTTAAAATAAAAAAATTTTAAAAATGAAAAAAAATTCATTAAATTTACTGCTTAACAAGTAAGACTTGTTATCTTAAAAACATGATAAGCCATACAAACTGGAAAAAGGTGTAACATATGCTATGTTATTTGGAACTGAAGAGGTCACTGATTATACCTTTAATTTATAAGCTACTAAAAAAAAGAAAGATCTCCCAAGATGTGGAGTCATTGGAGGAGTCTCCCAAAGGCTGGGGCATTAAAGAGCCACATCTTCTGTAAACTTACTGCTTTCCTGCAAGCAAGGTTATGTTTGCTATGCTGGCATAAGGTTAAAGGACGTGGAAAATTTTGAAAATCTGAACCACAGCTGGTATTTACACAGGTATGCACACAGCCTGTAATCTAAATAAATGTAACTTTATGGTTCATCTTAGGCAAAATCCCCCAAAAAACCAAACAAAAAAATGAAACAAAAAGCTGCAACAAACCATAGTCAGAGAATTTAATTTATAGTGGTCTTAAAGTGACAGTAATTTTAATATGCCATTGAGAGAGACAAATGTGAAAAACATTTTTCTTAGAATAACGAGATTAAAGGGGCAGAGACTGCAGCTTTAGTATGTAGAGTTCATATAACTCATTTGGAAAAATAAACAACTGATATAAATGATCAAATGTTATAAAGGTCAATTCTCAAAGGAACTATAAATGGCTATTAAACACGAGTAATGGTTGAACCCTATTAGTACTCAAGAAATGCAAAACAAAATGATCAGATAATATTTTTTACTTGTCAGAGTAGCATAATTTAAAAAGCATGTGCTGGCTGAGGGCTGGCAGAAGACAGAACTGCGGGAGTCTTTAGTGGTACAGTCTCTTCTTGCAGTTGTGTGCAGTTTAGTACCCTATCATTTCTTCTTGGAATCTCCCCCAAGTAAATAACCCCTAAGTTAGATGCAGCATTTATCTGAAATTATGCTCATAAAAATATTAGTTTGAAAAGAAGCAGCTATATAACTGCCAAATCCTGAAGCATGATAAAATAGACTATGGTACACCTACATACTCTGAATGTGGTATTACAATTTTAAATGATGTTTTTGTAGGATATTCAAGGAGATGGGAAACTATGCATGGTATGTTATGTGAAAAACAGAGGACATATAGCTAAAATTATAAACCATTGTGTTACTGGTTTTTCTTTTCAGTTTTGAGAGCTGAATCTGGAGCCCCACTCTTGTCACTGAGCTATGCCCGACTAGTCATCATTTTTATATGAATTCATAAAGCACAGAAATAAAGATTGGTAGGATGCACATAAAAATAGTAGCACCAGATATCTCAAGGTTGTGGGATATTGAGTAATTGTCACTGTTTCACTGTTTTATTTGTTCCTTTCAAACTTCAACAAATATTATAAGAAAAATTGTTCTATCTAAATATAAAACATGAACATTTTACTTCAGTTTTTTGTGGATGGCAAAATTATTGGGTTATAAAAGTGGAGCACGGAATAGACAATGATAACATAAAAATACATGTATAATGGTTGCTTTAGCATTTTTATACAGTTTTAAAACTTATATAATACCACATATTCATTGCAGAAAATTTAATATATAGCAATATAAGGAAAAATAAAATCCCACATAATCCTTTGATTTGAAATACATATTATTAGCTTTGGGCTTAGTTTGCTCTTCTTTTGTTAATTACTGAAGATTTGAAATTAGGATGTTAATTTGATCTTTTTCTTCTTAAAAACAGGATTTTATATCTATAAATTTCTTTTTGAGCACTGCCTTTGAAGGATCCCATAAATTTTTAGTGTAGGCATTTTTATTTTGACTCTGCGTTTTTCATTTTGCCCTGTGATTTCTTTAACCCATCGGTTGTTTAATTTTCATGAATTTTTGAGTTTCCAGGTTTTCATTTTTTGTTGATTCATCCCGCTATGATAAAAATGATACTTCACATGACTTTAATATTTTTAGTTCACTAAGACTTGGTTTCTGGCCTCCACTGTCAGTCTATCCTGGAGAATGTTCCATAGAGATAACCACTATTCATAGTTTCATAGACCTCACTAGAATTCTGCTGTGCCTTTAAGGCACACAGACTGATAACTATTAACATGTCAATAAATCTATAGTTATTGACTAACTATACCTCTAATACATTAGAGGTGACTAATTATAGGTGACTGACTATATCTCTAAAGCATTTCCATTGGTTGCATACTGTTCCCATTATTTGACCATACCTTAATATATTTAACCAATATATTACATGGTTGTACATATACACTTACCAATCTTTTTCACCAAAGACCAGGGCTAATGATTATTACATCAATAAATATCTGACTGGAGTACATAACTATAATTACTAAGTGATTATTAATGTAGGGGGAAAAGTCTCAACTCTTCCAATAAAAATCTTACACAGATAGTAAAGTCAACAATTAAAAATCATAAGAAATTTTCTCACTAATCTTACCTTGAATTTTCTTGAAAACTCTGGAATTCATAAACTTTAGAAATCTGTCTGCATAAAAACTTGGTCTATGAACTGAAACAGTGTCCTGAAAAGAAAAATCAAGGATCACAGGATTATCTTTTAAGAGTTCAGCTCAAGTCAGAAGCAAGATCTCTGTAACTGGTTCTCTGATGGCTACTGTTCTGACTCAAAGTAGCCACAAGTTAGGAAGAGTAAAATTCTGTGTCATGTGGTGCCCAGGAGCCTTGTCTGGAGAGAAGGGTACAAACTCAGTCCAGACAGATTCCAGATGCTCAAGATAAAATGAGCTCTAGGGGCAGAGCAGAGATGGCCAAACACCTTTAATAAAACACTGCATCCCGGGAGGGGCTTTTAAATTCTTTTGTTTACAGGTAGTCAGGGCTTCCAAGTGTCATTTGGAAAAGAGGGCAGAGTTCTTAGCCCTGGATAAAAATCAGGGACATAAATAAAAAGAACAACTCTAATGTAAGAGTGACACTTCAACCAAAACAGTATTGTAGCTTCATCTCCAAGTGACAAGGTGAACGGATGGTAGGAGGATTCCCAGAAGATGAGGCTAATTGAAGTGAACTGAATTATCTATTGGTTAAACAGAGACAAAGTGTTAACTCTTCTCTTATGCTTGGCAGGACTCTTAAAACTGAAGTGTCATTTTACTACAAATCTGAGAAAGGAAATAGATGAATGGATTGTCTCTGTTCATTTCGTAACCAATTATTAGCGATCCATGTTGTACATTTCTAGAAATAGTAAATTTGCTTCTATGCATAGCACTCCATTTTGAGTTCAGGTTATGGATTCCAATATGGAGATTTCTAAAAATTTAAGTTTAGATGCTACAAAGTAACAACAGTGAGGATGGGGGGAAACCCCAACAAGTACAACCAAAAATTAGGAGACCTGGTTTTAGAGTGAGTTCTAACTTTAAAAGACTGTGCGATCCCAGGAATAGCTAGAGACTCAGGGTCTCAGCATCTGTATCTGTGAAGCAGGGTGATACAGGAGGCATAATCAGCACATAAGGAAGGAGACAGCATGCATGGGCCCGCTTTGGCATATTCTACTGGTCCTATAGTCTCTAGGCGAGGCTGTGATGTGACAGAACATTTACCTCCCTGTATAGTATGCCTTGGTGTAACACACACTCTTCACAGGATGCTGGCAGTTTCTGCCTCAAGTGGACACCTTTGCATGAGAGGCAGTACTTTAGAACTATCAGTAGGATGCAAGGAGCATCTGCAGATGGCTGAGGCCCAGCCTTTGGCTTTAAAGGATTTCATTCTTACTCTCTTTAGCATGAAGAAACACTGTCTAAGTAAGGGTCACATTAATAAGTAAACAAAAGTAAATCTTGATTATTGCTTGTGATGTCACAAATATATCTCGTACAGATATTTTCTTTAAAATGGACAAATAAAAAAGAGAAAGTATTTTAAATAGAGGAAGATGGGGCCTTACGGAAGCATCTGGCCAATCCAGGACTGGGCCACTGAGATCAGAAATCTCGCCGGGTACCTGGTGGTGGAAGTGGACTCAGCAAAGAGCAGAGGAAGAGATGGAGGAGCAGGTATGTTTGCTCTCTCTCCCTTCCCTGTTCAAGGTGCTAGGCTGTCCCTACCTTTCTCAGCGGGAAATAAAACTAAAATTAACTTACCATCTGGAACTTCCCATAGGACATGTCTTGGATCTCAGTGTTTGTGGTTCTTTCTTAGAACTAAATTTGTGAGCCTGTTGTTTAAAAGTGCATTCTGACAGAGGTCAGCCCTTAACTCATGGACAAACTACAGATCTTTAGAGCAGCAAGATTATTAACAGTCGTCCACAAAACTGAAAAATATATGTTCTTTTCCAAGAAGGAAAAGAACAACATCTGTAATTTATCCTGTCAAAGGAAAGCGTCTGCTAACATCTTAAAAGAAAACAGAAAATGTGGGATCAAACTCATGATCATTATATTCTTTGGTGGTGTCATACGCAGTCATTAACTGAGGGAAGCTTAGGCCAATAAATGTTTTGTTGGCAGTAGGAGGTTCAAATCTAACATCTAGAAACGTGTGTGTGTGTGTGTGTGAGAGAGAGAGAGAGAGAGAGAGAGACTTCCCTTTGATATTTGACTTTTCCCCCTAAGTTAAGGTATGATATATAACTCTCTGATACCTTCACATTAGTCAGCACATATAAATGTACAAGTCTATAAACATGTACATTCACACCCACAAACATTTTCACTGTGTATGTTCTTATTATGTGTCAGGCATCATGGTGCTTACTAATGTGCATTATTGCATTTTACCCTCACATCAGGCAGGCTGTGTGGGGTTATCCCCATGCTACTGAGGAAAAACCTGCTTCAGATGCACTTCACATGCATGTGTATGGCCAGGTCACTAGGAGAGTCAAAGTTTAAGCAAAGTTCAAATCCAGGGTTTCTATCATCTCAAACTGCTCAGTAGCTCAGTCTTCTGATAATTTCAACAGTCTCAGCCTTCCCTGTGCCTTTGAGGAGAATCCTCTTCTTTTCCCCTATTATCTCATAATTTCATACAGAGACATCCACCCCTGCGCTGTCCTGGCTCACAGTCTAAGATTCTGGGTTATAAAGACTTTTGCTCCTTTTTAACAGGCCAGTGATGCATTTTCCCAAACACACTCAAAGTCTCTGAGAAATCAGAAGAAATGTAGTTTAACAAGAAACAGCAGTCACTCACCCCATCATACACAAGAGCTTTCCAGGAATGCTCTAACTTCTTCATTAACCTGAATATAAATGGAAAAACAACAATAAGAATGCAAAACCATACAAATCTGGTGAATTTTCCAAAACTTGGACTGCTTTTGAAATAATAAGTCACTTCTCAAAATTTCTCACCTATATGATTGTAGAATGTCAATAATGCCCATAAATAAAAGCAATTTTTCTCCCTTATGGCTTTTAGCTGGAATGCCTCCCATTCTGTTGATAGAACATAAAAAAACTGTATTATTATATAGGTATGAAAAGTTAAAAATAATTTTAAATAAAGACTGAAAATAAATATCCCGAAGAACTCTGAGCAATGTCCTCATTCACTGTTCTTTCTTAATTTTTGCATTAGTCAATTATTCTTCCTGGTGCTCTAGAGTGATGTGCTTCCCTGCAGAGGGGAATAACATCACAGCTGTCCATTCAGAAGAGTGGATGGGAAGAATTTAATCTTAAAATTATTTCCATTTCTAAACTACAAATGAAAAGTTTTAGAGCACTATAAAATATTGCTTTAAAAATGTGATATTTTTTTCTGACAGAATAAGATGTTTACTGTGACATTTTTTATTTTAAAGAAAAACCCCCAGAAAAATCAAGAGGCAACCAATTAAAAAGCAACAACAAAAGTAAAATGATGATAACAACAACAACAACAATAATGGCAATACAGGATTTCAAAACAAGATGATAGGAATTTAACAATGGTTGTTGTATTGCATATTGTTATCCTCAACGTAACTGCTCAGGCTACCAGATACAGGCATGTACGATTGATCAAACAAAAAAAAATTGCCTCTTGAGTAGTTTCTTTCCCTTTTATTATATCAATCGTAGCTTTTAGATCTCATGTACTCTTTCAGGTTTTACACTAGTGAGACAATTTGGTGTTTATACATGTAAGTGTGATTTATTTCACGTATGAGTATGGATTCTATTATTTATTGTGCTATTTTAATGAAATAAAATAAAAGCACACTGAAGGAAATATATAAAAATTTGATTTCCACAATGGTACCATACTTTTTCTAGTATGTGTGTGTATTAATTTACAAAGGAGATTATTTATCATGTTTTATAACCTGAAGTTATTACTTGCCAAATGATAACCATTTCTTCAAATCAGTAGCGATGTGATTTTTTAATAGCTGTGCAGTGCTTTGTTATACATATAGATTATTTTGTTCTATTGATTATTGAACGTTTAGTTGGAACTTTAAGCAATGATTAGAAAAATATTTAGTATGTGTTAATTTTCTTTATAAAAATGAAATACGACAGTGATTTATAGTCAATGTTAGAGAATCCTAAAAGTCAGATGCTATGACCACAGAAAATAACTTCTTTCTGCAGTCTCCTTGCTTGGACGGTATGCACACGTGACCCAGTTCACACTTGCAGTGATCTTCATTGCCTGCAACTGTTTCTGTTGTCAATATGCGCTTTGCACACACACTTTTTTTTTTTTTTTTAAAGAAAAGGAAACGAAAAAAAATACATGGAAATTAAAAAAAAAAAGGGTAGAAATAATTCTAAATTACAGACAAACAAAAGGTAAGAAATTGCCAGTTGATAAGTTACAAATTGTCATCTTCGAAATGGCTGTTCAGGTTATAGAATTAAAGTATATAGAATGACATTCAAAAAAAAATGACCCTACAAACCATTCTGCTCTATGGCCGAACAAAAGCTCTGTAATATGATTATCAGTCCCACCTATTTGTTTTACATCTCTAAGAGGATAAGGTTAACCATATCAAAACAGAACAGAACATTTTAAAAAAAATAAAAAAACAATTTAAAGAAATACAGATTTCAAAGCAAGTCCACTGGAAATCTACCTTATCTATCTAGCTTCTTACAAATAGTTGTCCCTAACTTCACCCACTTTCTATACTTATTGCATATTATAGAACTAATCAAATCATTACAGGATGATGGAGTCTTTTTAGGTCCTCAAGTTCCAAATTAGGGAAGACAATACCAACTACCATCGCATCTCTCATTCTCTTTGTGATAGCCGTCCCCATCTCTGCATATGTTGAAGTTGAGCTGAAGAAACCAGTCCAGAGTCATTTTAATCAGCAAGCAATAGATTGCTAGAATTTATATTATAATGCTACAAAATAAGCCTCGGGTTTTTCAGGTTTCTTCCTCAGAGTATTTGTTCCTATCCTCTCTGTATTATAGGGAAAACCAAGTCATAACAAGACAACGAAACAATTTCCTAGATAATCATGCAATGGATAGGACTTATAAAACTATAATATAAATGATCTTCCGTAGCTACTATGTTTTCTCTTGTTATTTTCAATAGATTTGTTGACAACACTGGCTTATTATAGTTAAACATACTATCACCTATTTTTATAAAAACTTATCTTTGACTGCATTGTAGTATTTGAGAGCTGTTACTGATTCATACCAGTATGGATATCCTTTACATCTTGTCATGCTCAGAGTAGTTTCCTCTACTTTTAGGGTTGATTCTAACACGCATACCGATTTCTAATAGGATCAGTCAAGGCCAACCAATAGTCTTATGATTCAGATACAATTAAGATCAGTCATAGTAAGACAATGTAAGTAATACAGAATTTCAGCCTAAGTCAATAGGAAAGTAAGGATAGTTGCCGTGGTATAACCTGCTATTTTTGGTTCTAGAGGTCTGTGTCCTCAAATCTGATATGAGTGGACAGACCAGAACAAATTTAATTCAATCTAAATATGTCACTAGGACTACTGTGTCTTTTAAATCGTTATACACCATTAGCAATGACCTCTGCTTTTTTTTTTTTTAAATATAGTTTCAGAGCTGTCTCTACTAAAGACTAGCTTACCGTCTCTGCCTCATGTCTGCTACTCCACTTTTCTGCTATAATTTGTCCACCTTATTCCCTCATTCCATGGTCTGCCCCGTTCACTGAGGCTTCTCTGCCACTGTAGCTGTAATCCTGATATCTCTTCCTCTCTTTCTCTGTAATGTCCTTCAGCGCTCTCTGTAGGGTTGGATTGGTGGCCACGAACTCCCACAGTTCCTCCTTGTCTTGAAAGTATCTTATTTCTTCATTAATTTTTAGAGAGAGTTTTGACGGATATATGAACTTAGGTTGCATATTTTTTTCCTTCAGGACTTGGAATATTTCTCCCCACTCCCTTCTTGACTTAAGAGTTTGTGATGATAAGTCTGCTGTTATTTTGATAGATTTCCCATTATAGGTAACCTGCATCCTTTCTCTGGCTGCTTTTAATATTCTGTTTTTTTGGTGGATTTCTGGGATCTCGATTATTATATGCCTAGGCGTAGATCTGTTTTGGTTGTAGGTAGCTGGCGTTCTGTATGCTTCTTTTATCTGGATATCATTTCTTTTTGCTATACGTGGGAAATTTTGCTTTAATATCTCTGTGAATATTTTTTGTATTTCATTTTTGGATGTTCCTGCTTCCTCACTCACATTCTTTATCCTTAGGTTATGTATCTTTTTATCATCTTCCAGTTTTAGAATTGCTTCTTTCTGGTTCCTTGTTATTTTTAAGAGGCTTTTTCTTTCACGTTCATAAGCCCTAAATCTCTCTTCAAGTTTCAGAAGGTTGTCTTTAGTTTCTGTCAAGGCATTTTGCCAATATTCAATGGAGTTCTGAGTTTCCTGATATTCTCTTTGGATCTGTTTCAGGTATTCTAAGTTATGCTTAAATTCTTCTTCAGATGCTTCTCTTTCTTTTCTGATTTCCTCAGTTCTTCCATCTGTGTTCTCTTGGGCGGGGCTTGTCATTTCTTTAATTAATCTCTTTATATCTTGCCTCACTTGGATCAGGAGTACATCTTTAAATTCCTCTATGAGATCATGTAAGTACTTTTTAATTTCGGCTGATGCTGTGTCGAGTAGAGGATGGTTACTGTGCTTGTTCTCTTCAGTGTTTAGTTCTCTTGGGTTTAATTTCTCCTGTTGAACAGCTGGAGGTTTTTTTTTATTTTTATCTCTTGTCATGTTTCTGGTTTCTTTCAGACTGTCCTGGAGTTCTCTGGCCCTCTCCGAATTGCTTAGGGCCTTTCAGAAGCGTGCTGGCTTGAGTTTTTGCTGTCCTCCCCAATTTGCTGTTATCTGGGGAAGGCTGGGATGTAGGGGCGGTACAGTCTAGACTCTAGCCTCTGTGTCAGTTAGTTCATAAATTAGGCTGTACTTTCTGGTTGTCACTGAGTTGTGACTATTTTGTATCTGCTTATTGGGCCCCAAGCAGAGGCTTGGTTTAGCCCCAGTAGCTCCTGCCAGTTCTCTTTGAATCAGAAGCAGCTGGGTAATGGCACAGGATTCTGCCCAGGTCCCAGCCGTTCTCTTCCAAACCTCTCTGTGATAGGTGCACCAGAAAAGCAGATCTGCCCAAAACAAAGATGGCTCCCACTAAGTTCTCTGTGTGGAGCTGAAGCCAACAAGTAATCAGGCTCTGCCAGGACTTAAGATGTCTTCCACCAGCCCTCCCTACAGGGCGACCTGGTGATGTCACTAAGCTGCGATTTCTGCCGCCAGGCTAATATGTCTGCACCAGATTCTGTGTTATTGATTTCCCCGTGGTGGCGGGCCAGCTGTTCTCTGGTCAAACCCAGCAGCGGCGGGGTTTTCTGTACTCACCAGGGTCCGGTGCAAGTCCTCGTTCCGGGACCGCTGCACACCAAGCTGTCCACTTTTCCCCCACTCGCGGCTCAGCGCTGACCGGTCAGATTTCTGTGCACCGTTTAGATTTGAATCGCCAGAGCTTTGTACATCCGCTCTGGTGCAGCGGTGCAGAACTGGCTGCTACTTGGAGTCTCGATCTGGGTCTCAGTTTCCCGCGGTCTCCAAAAGCAACTCAGCTTTTCGTGCTGGGTCCATGAGTCTGTTTGTTGATTTAAGGGCGCGGGATTTGTAGCCTCCGGTCTCAGCACGACTTTAAATCCTCCAGTTGTACTGTCTTGGTTAATAAGAATCGCTATCGATTTGTCTGGTCCTCTCCATGCTGTCTTTTTTTATCTTTGAGTCTGAATTCTCTGGAGAGATTCTTCGCTCGATCCCCTAGCTCGCCGCCATTTTCCAAGAGCGAGTTGTCCACTTTTCCACAGTGCAACAATAACACTGAGGAGTAGATCTACCCTCCTGGTCCTAGTATTGCTGTTGATCTCCAGCTGCCACTCCTCCTCCCAGAACATTGGACTGCAGTGGATTAATCTTGCTGGGCTAATTGGAGACTCAGCAACCCCTCATCCAAACAGAGGACCTCAGCAGGCTTCTGTCAGGGTGGTGAGTTTCTCCCATGGGATTTGTGGCTATCTTTGGTCCATCACATGGTGTCACTTCACAGGTGCTTAGACCATCACAAGGGGTCACTTCATAGGTGCTTAGATGGAAAGCTGTGCACACACACTTTAATCCTTCAGCTACTACTACATCTGGCTGAGAGACCCCCATTTGCCAGGGTACAGGACTAGGTCCACAGAATCCCTGAATTGCTAACATCATTCCCATCTTGTCTTTGCTTAGATATACATTTATTCAAATCCCAAGTTTACTCATTCCTTTTATGGTAGATTTTTTGAATACGTAGTAAAAGGAAGTAAGAATATTTTCAGCCATTGTGATAAAATGGAGCCTTCTGAGAAAGAAACCATAGGGGCGAAAGGATAACAATGCCTCAGGAAACTGTCTCCACCTAGTTACCCACATACGTGTAAAGTATGTGGCTTAATCTAGCACTTAATAGGACTCTGTTCCCAGGAGCCTCCATCACAGGCACTGACTGCAGGTGGTTAGCGGTGCCGTGGGTAACCAGGGACGTTCCTAATCAGGGCGGATGTGTGGCTTACGTGTCTGCATTCTCTGCAATGATCCCGTCTCCAGACTTCCCTGGGCCCTGGATGGATTCCATGGCCGTGGAATAGAGGACTTTCTGGATCCCAGGCCGCTTCGCATCAGGCACGTTTTGTGAGGACTCTTCTTCTTTGTCTTTGAGTGAATGTTCTAAAATGTGGATTCCCAGCAAAAGGCTGTAGTCCATGATCTTGAAGCTTTCTAGCACCTGAGAAAGAAAGAGAACCAGGAGGCCAGTCAACCCAAAAGGCCGATAAGTCCCATGTGCACAGAACCAGAATACTGTAGCTATGCAGACATATTTCTCCTGTATTCCCACTGTGGGGTGACAGAGGAGAATCCAAATGAAAACACTTGATATTAGCATTAGGTGACAGGCAGGAAGGACAGTCACAGCAACTGCAAGAAGAGATTGTTATGCAGATCTAAAGCAAGTGTATCTTTTCTTAACATTCTACGAATCCAGCATTTTTACTGAATCCTTCTCAGGTGCCAGGTATATAGTAGCTCACTTGAATTCATTCCTTACAACTACAACGGCCCTATGAACTAGGCATTGTTATTGTCTGTACATCATAGATGAATCAAATGAAGACAAAGGGATGTAATCTGCTAAATAACACAGTCAGCATGTAAGTAACAGAGCCCCAAGGGGTCAACTCTGGCAGCTACATTCTTAATAAGCACCACAGTGGGGAAACTAACAAGCAATAGTCTGCAAACTTGTACCCTCCTCAGCACGATGAGTGTTGCAGTGTATTTTTGCCTGTAATCTGTTTTAAAAATCCTAATTTTGCTGAGTTTAGTGATCTCTTTTTCAAATCCTATCTTTCAAAGTTGCCATTCAGTTCCCTATAGCAAGTCATTTAAGAACAGATAATCTCAACTAAGAATAGGACTTAACACTTAATTACCCACTCAGCAGCCAGTGTGGAGGGAGAGGAATTCAAAACATTTGGAGGCAACCAGACAAAAGAGAGAAATGCCTCAAATAAAAAATGACAGGGAACTAGGAATAGATAGAAATCTGTCAAAATGGCTTTAGAGAATTTAATCCTTCTTGGATGAAAAAGAATGTTCAGGAATAATGCCTAGAAACTGGGTGTTTTTCTCTATGAAAAATTATTTTTCTTCTAGTTTGTATATGATTGTCCTCTAGAATCAGTTTTGCAGTACTTGGTATTTGTCACACAAAGCTCAGGCAATTAGAGTGACCCAGAAAGTAACACAATCCTGGTTGGCCTAAAGGCCGTTAAGATAATAATTGAACACGTGTTACTCCTCATAGTGGTTGAGAAACCAGAGGTGCTAACTGGAAGGTAACTCCTCCAGAGTTACTCTTCTGAAAACAAACACTGTCTAAAAAGCAATAAAAATATAATGGTCTTTCTAGTGTGCTTGCCAGTGCGTTTGGCAAATCCTGATTTCTTTAAAGGCTCTGGGATTTTGAGTATCCAGTAGAATTACTTGGGTTTTAAACAGGAAAAGCTTGGCCTTTGGCACTGCAACTCTGGTCAGTGGTTCTAAAACGACAATCTTATAACCTATACGGGGAAAAATTCCACTTTCAACTGGAAAAATATACAGCTTGTGCTTTGCAGAACCCCCACAACACCCATTTACAAATACTTCCCTTCCAAGCAGGGAACTGGCTTCAATAGCAAGTTCTAATCAGTCTCTGTGCCAGCACTGCTGATCTTCCTAACAGCATCCAGAATCATTTACTAGAGCTAGGACTGAGCCAAGTTGGAAGGCATTCCTGAGGCCATCCTATAATGTATTCATCAATTAATTGTTTTTTTCCTAAAACAATTTTTATTATATTTTTCCAAGTAGTTTTTAACCTTAACTGTTTGGTTTGTATCTGTAGTCTCTTTTGTTGCTCACAGACACTAAAGAGACCCAGGTATTCTACAAGAGATAGAAAGCCAGGCTGTGGTCTGTCTTAACTAGTGGACAAAATAAGAAACTATCCTGATATTAAGCAGTAAAACATTTTAGGGGGTATAGTTTCCTTACAAAAGAATAAGATTTATAGAGAGAAGAACAGTAGTAACCAGATCCTTGGGACGATGGCGGGGAGTAGAGAGGATATGGTTACTATGTACATTTGTATAGGAGTAATAATGTTTGAAAGAAAGCACAGCAAAATAACTATTAAGTAAGACATTTTATCAATTATGTATTTCAAAGTAGAGGAAAGGATTTTGAATGTTCTCAACATAAAGGAATGTCTAAAATGAGATATTCCAATCATCCTACTATAATAATTATAAACTACATGCATGTAGCAAAATAAAATATTATATCCTATAAATATGTGCAATTACCATGTCGTGTCAATTATAAATTAACAATATATTAAAAAAGAAACCTTTGGGGTGGGGATATAACTCATTAGTAGTGCATTCGCCTAGCATGTACAAGGCCCAAAGTTCCATCCCCAGCAGTACCACAAAAATAAAACAAAACAAAACCCTTAAATTGGTTTGCCAGTATCCAGGAAAAGTACCCAGTCATTCTCAAGGGTTAAGGCTCCTACTTTCTGGGTGAAAGTAATAAAAAACAAATAGTATCACTGCTGTGTGAAAAATTGATCTCTAGCACCAGCGCCATATGTGGGTCCCCACCAGACTGGAATAGGCAAACCCCAGATTCTCCCCATGAGTCAGTGCTATTTAGAGACCAGTAGTAGAGAGAACAAGTCCACACCAAGGCCCAGTCTGGGAACCAGCACCATACATGGGCCCCCACCAGACTGCAACAGCCAGACCCCAGCACCTTCCATCATGCGTGAGCTGGCAAGCAAGAAGTACTAATTCCCTCTGTCCCGCTCCCTGCCATAAGCAACCGGCTTATCTGGAGAAAAACAGGCTGTGATGATAGCTATAGAGGTGAAATGCAATTGGATGCCTGTGGTGCTCTGGTGTCTAAGGCCAGTGTGGTCTGATTATAGGTTCAGAGGATAGCAGTGCCCAGTGTGACATCTAGGGAGGATCTCCTTTTGAGGGCTGCCGCCATTGCTGATTCCCTATGGTCTTGTTTTGAAGTCCTATATCCTTTCCATTGTTTTGTTTTGTTGGGTTTTACTCTCTTTTATTTGTTTGATTATGTTAAATCCAATGGCAGAAGCAGCTATCAAAGATAGCAAGATACAGTATGGCAGCAATTTTGGAATTACTATTGGCTTGTGTTGAAGTCCTATATTGCATTCATTGTTTTGTTTTTATTGTTTCTATTCTATTGTTCTATTTGAGTTTTACTATGTCCGAAGTTATCTGCAGCTATTTTGAAGACATCAAAAGGCATTATGGTAATTATTATTGATTTTGTAATATTTTGAAGTCCTGTGTCTCTTACACTGGTTTGTTTTGAGTGGTTTTATTGTTTTATCCCCTTTAAAATAAAAAAGAAAAGTTGACCTCTATAGTTAAGAGTTTTGGTCAGGCATAATCACCACCCACAAAAAAGTTAAGAAACAAAAAGATAAATATATCTCAATATACTTAAAATTTAGAAATCTTGGGGCTGGGGATTTAGCTCAGCGGCATAAGTGCCTGCTTTGCAAGCAGGCAGTCATAAGTTCAATCCCTGGTACTGATAAAAATGAAAAAGACAAAAAAAAATTATAAAACATGAAAAAAAGAAATCTTTCTAATGAAAAATAAATAGAATTTATGATATTCATATCATATATGAATATCATATATAAATATATGAATAGATTTTAATCATGTATTTTTAAACACTTGCATCAACTAGGGACAACGTATTTCTCTTATTCACATCCTCATAGTTTGACTAAAGGAATTGATAAGTCTAAAAACTTAAGCTACATGTTGCAATACTGTACAATATGAGGCTCTTTCCAGTTTGTCATTTCTAGAATGTCTGTCTGACCTCGTGGCTGCTGAAAGATTCTGTACCTGTACATTTGCCATTCAAAACACAAGTTACAATTCAAATATATGCACCTTTTCATCTAGTTTGGGCAGTACTTTACTTCCTCATTTGTAAAATAATAAAACAGAAATCATTCCCAATGCTATATAAAACAAGAAGCAAGTGGAAGACTGTAACGCTTTTTATAGCCAAAGTCAGGTATGTTTCCTTCTCTCCAGCACTCCTTTACAGGTGACTAACATCACTGGAATGTATATCTGAAATTCCGGGTAGTATTTCAGCAAGTCTGGATAAGGGCTGATGAAAGAGGTGGTAGTAACACAGGAGGATTAGGGAGAAGTAAATGGATTTCATAATGTTTTAGAGGTCAATTCCACTATCATCTTTCTATAGCTCAGTTGCTAAATCGTAATCTTTGGTTTGATCTTTGCTTCAGCTGCGTCCCTACACATTCCCAGTGGCCTTCTGGACATTTTAAAACTTCTCTACATGGTCCTACTGCAATCTGAACTTTTATTTTTGGTCAAGGTGTCTTGTTCTTGGTCAGTTTGTATTTTTTATTTGAAACCACGCTGATGTGGATTTCAGGCTCTACAATTCCTTCCTTTTCCTTTGATGAAGGCGCCCAGTTCTACAGGTTTTATTTTCACCCCACTTGATGAATTGACTTCGACTTCCTTTTGGATTTATTCCTGACCCTTGTTGGATCAGTCCCCCACCCCCCAGGCCTTCAGACTCTTGCCCTTGCTTGGTGCCAAGGACTGAGATTAACACTGAAAGTTCAGCCAACAACTCTATTATTTAATACCACCCTAAATGCCTCCCGGGGTACTCAAACTCAAATTCCTTATTTCCCCTAAATGTGCTTAAAAAATGTAAGCTGCAATGCCTTTGCTCATGTGGTTTCTTCCTGAAAATTCCTACTATTCTTTCAATTCCTATTGCTTTTTAAAGTCTAATTCAACTGTCACCACCATAAAATTATACTAATGACTTAGTAAACTGTTAGGACTATTTTTCCGCTCTGGAAACCTGTGCACATTATGGGGCCCCTCTGTGGTATAAAACTGAACCTCAGGTTATATTTACATTTTTTTCTATAACCACACTAGAGAGGCTCATCAAAGGCTTGTTTTACTTTGTGCTTCCTACTGTGAGCTCTGGACATAATCGGACTGCATACTTGTTATATGGGTTTCCATGTGTACAAGCAAGTAAAATCCAGCACAGAATGTCTTAAATACAAAGCATGATTATGATGCTTAAAAAACGTTTTAGCACTGAAAACATTAACTGTGATTATGT